TGTCTGTCGTCTCTGTGTCTGTCGTCTCTGTGTCTGTCGTCTCTGTGGGCAATCTAGCAAAACCTATGGACTCCTTAGAATGCTGTTTTTAAATGCATAAAATAAAATGCATAAGATTACAAAAAAGATCAATCATATGGAAATCCAGTTATCAAAATAATGAATAAGGTCATGGAATGCAAGTCAAGAACCCTTGGGATAACAGTACTGTGATTGTGACTTTGCAGATGACTGGAGTACTAAGACGGCTTCTTCTAGCTATCGACTTGGGGACGTTATTTCTATCCGAGATGATGTGAACACTGGAAGTCATGTGGCTCTGAGACTCTTCATTGATAGCTGTATGGCTACGTTGAAACCAAACCAAGATTCAACTCCTCGTTATGCTATCATTGATTTCCATGGGTAAGTTCCACAGCAAACTTCCTCAATACCAAAGTCCACTCATTTCCAAAGGAATCACAGGTATGGGCGTTCCTTTCAGAAATCTTTCCGCCTCTACCCCCCTTTTACCTTCCCTTAAGTATCTATCCTGGCCAAAGCAAATCACCTGGAAGTCGACCTATCAGTGACTAGACTCTCCATATTTAGGTAGGCTGATTCCCAGGTGATTTCATTGCTAGGCTTGTCCTCGGAAGCTTTTTCAGCTTGGGCATATCAAAGTTCATTCTGATATGTCTTCCCAAGTGAAGTCACCTCTAGATATTGGAGAAGGATATTGTGGAGGAAGCTCATTAACAAACTTTAATTCCTAGGTGTCTGGTTGATGGCCGGTCAGAAAATGTTGGGTCAACCTTCATCTCCCCAAGGCCCAAGCCAGAGACCCTTCGGTTTATAGTTGATACTTTTAAGTTTTCAAGGGAAGCCAAGGATCAGGCGAGCTTTATCCTGCTTCCTCCACTTCTGTACACTGTATCGATAATGGCAATGATAAATCTTTAATTCTGAATTATTTTCTAGATCTATATTATGTGCCACCTGAAGGTCACTGAAGCTGCCGATGTGCCAGATCCTTCAAACAAAGCTTGTTCCTTCAACACATCAAGCCAGGAGTAAGTAAAGCTTGAACAGCAACCATGGCTACTAGTAACTGACACTGCCACCACCACTGCTATTGTTTCTTGGTAGTCATGAATAAGTTCAGTATTGCATAGGAGCCCTATCAAAGCTACTTAGGTACTTACCTGAATTAGGTGAATGGTGGTGTTTTGGGGAAATTGGTGAATCAATTGTTTAGGAGAATAGAACTCCTGATCTACTTATGCTTTTTTCCCCTATAACACTATTTGAATGTATTGTTTTTAATAACTATTTTTAAAATCTTAAGTCATGATTATTGAATTCCAACTTAACAGTTATTGCTTAATCTAGTCATGTCTTACCATTGAAGAATGGATCTCTTTTAGAAGGCTATACATAGTTCAGTGGCTTTGGTACTTTGCTACTTTTCCTAATATTATTTCCTACTTATAGCTTATCAGAAAAAAGTATTGGTCTCCTTAGCTCCAAGAGAATCAATCACTTTCCCCTGGCTAGAGAGCTCTAAAATGAATAGTGTGTGTGGATGCGTGTGTGTATAGGTATATACATGAGTATAGATACACATGTATGCATACTATATAAATATTATATATGATATATATGAAAATGCTGTGCATGGTATGCATATATACATAGGCATACATACATGTATATGTATATGTATGAACATGTATATTCTTCTGTGTGACCCTGGGCAGGTCATTTAACCTGTATCTCCTTGAGTTTCCTCATCCGTAAAGTGAGAGGGAAGGAATAAATATTTATGTAGTGCCTATTATTTGGTAGGGACTATGTAAGCCCTTTTCATATATTATCTCATTCGATCCTCATCACAATCCTGCAAGATAGTTGCTATTATTATCTTCATTTTACAGTTGAAGAAACTGAAGCAAACAGAGGTCAAATGACATGCCCAGGGTAACACAGCTAGAAAGTGTATAAGGCTGGATTTGAACTCTAGTCTTCCTGACTTCAGGCCCAGTGCTTTATCCGCTCGGCTACCTAGGCAACTCTGATGTAGCATAATGGAAGATGACACCTATCTCCCAGGGCTGTTTTATAGGTCAAATGAGATAACATTTGTGTGAAGTACATAGCACAGTGCCTAGTACATAGTAGCACTTAATAAATGCTTATTTATTAATAATCATAGAATGGCATACTGGCAGTTCAAATCATGCTAGAACTCTTAACTGTGTGATTCTAGGAAAATCATTTAACCTGCATGCCAGGGGTAACTTCAGGATCTAAATAATATATAGATAATTAAAGTCACTTATAAAATCGGTTGTTTTCAGTCATGCCTGATTCTGACTCCATTTGGAGTTTTCTTGGCAAAGATACTGGAGTGGTTTATCATTTCCTTCTCTACCTCATTTGACAGATGAGGAAACTGAGGCAAACAAGGTTAACTGACTTGCCCAGGGTCACACAGCTAGTAAGTGTCTAAGACTGGATTTGAATTCAGAAGATGAGTTTTCCTGACTCCAGGCCTAGCATTCTATCAGCTATGCCACCAAGCTGTCCTACTTATATGCTACAAGACCCTTATGCCATAAGCAAGAGAATTTTTTCAGTGCAACTGATAAGGGAGGAAAATACCCAAAAGGATATGCCTCCTCAAAAATAAAAATAAAAATAAAAATAAAAAAAATAAAAATAAAAATAAATCTGACTTTTACCCTTCCCTTCTTTTGCTGCTGCTACTTTTGGGAGAACTAGGGGGAGAAAACAGTAGATCTGACTTGTGGGACAAAAGACTTATGTTCCCTACTTCTCACTTGTACCTTATACCTCATTTTTTTTTAACCTTATACCTAACTTATTCTTTTTTTTTTCCTTAGGGGTTTCTTGAGCAGAGTTCCAGAAATTTTTTAAATATTTCCTATGACTTTACACAAGTTACTTTATGAAAGTTGCAAGAACTTTTCTTTTTTTGAGGGAGTGGGTACGAAATGATTTAGTCTAAGTATAACAAATTATAAATCTTAATCTTATAGAATATTTTCTACAAACAAATGCTATCCCAACATTGGTTAGTAGGGAAGTTTTAAATCTCTATTGGAGGACTAGAATACAGATAGACCTTGTTATATCTGCCCTTTGGATCTATGCCATTGTGTCTTGTTTAGCTCTTCTGTTTTTGACTCTTGGATGGGAGATGGGGCAAATTTTAAAGGTAGTCAAAGTTCTCATAGCAAGTAATAAGTTATAAAATTTAATAACTTCTTTCCCCAAAGTCCTAACCACTCAAGTGTCTTCCTCTCATTCATAACTTCCCAGATGGTCTCCTGTAGAGGGTACAGAGAATATCTGTAGCTGTTGTGAAACTGGTAGCTGCAGGAAAGGCCATCTTCCAAATAGACTTACCTGAAGTCACTGGAAAAGGAATAAATTGTATTGGAAAGGTAAGTTTCCTAACATAGCCTACATAGGAAAAAGCCCATGAAGCATGATCATATCTTAACAAATAAGAGGCTCAATGCTAATAATATGCGCCCGTTAGGCACTTCCAGCCTACTGATTACCTCAGCTTGAAGTAGTTTTAAAAACTTCTAGCTAGGTTTCATTGGAAACCCTTCCCCGCCTCTTCCCACTCCAACTCTATACAGATGTTCCTAGAAAAGAAACTGAGGCTGATGTGGTAGTTGGACCTCTGGTCATTTCTGATGTGACAATGCATCCCAGCAGCATTGCTAGCCAGGACAAAATGGCTAGAACCAACTCCCAAGGTATGGATTTACCTACCTTCCATCTATTTGATTACCTAAGTGGTAAACGATTGTGAGACTTGTGTCTAACATACCATTCCTTCCCAGGTCTGGAGAAAGTACCTCAAACACTGCTACTGGCTGCTGGATATGTACTATTTTTTTATCTCTCATACTAATCATGCAGGAAGATATAAAGTCTTTTTGGTAACATGAACTATTAAAATAAACTAAAGGATACCTTAAGATCTATTCAATGTGTTGTCTGCTTTTAATGATAATAGCTTATGTTTATGTAGTGCTCTAAGATTTGCAAAGTGCTTTACATATATTCTCATTTGACCTCCACAAAACCCCTGGGAAGTAGGTGCCATTCTTATCATTCCCATTTTACAAATGAGAAAATTAAGGCTGAGAGATTTAACAGTCAGTTGAACCAAAAAGTTTCTGAGGAAAGACTAGAAATCAAATCTTCCTGACTCTATCCAGTACTCTATCTACTCTGCCACCATAACTCCCCCTTTATTATGTATTGAATCCTTCTTCTAAAGGAAAATGATTAATTGGATCTTTGGGGGATATGCCTGAACAACGTAAATATTCCACCTAAAGTACTTAAAGCATACAGATGCTTGGAATCCTGTAGCATCTTCTTGATGTACTGTTATAAAGAAAACTCCAGACTGAACCAGTTCCAAAGACTGGTGTCTTAAAGACTTTATTAAAGAGATTGAAGTGTGTCCTTTCGATTCTCGTGAGAAGCCAGGCACACCTCCTTGGAAGGGGAGAATTGCACTCTTAAAAGAAACCAGAGCAAGTTTTATAGTTAATAATTGCCTAACTCTCCCTTCTGGATCACGATTGGTCCTAATCCTTCTGGGTTACAATCTTCCTTATATGCCTCACCCTTAACATACATTATGTGCCTAGAATTGTGTTATCACTCCCCTCCCCACAGAGAAGTTAGCCTGTCTGTGCTGATTTCTTATCTACTTATGTGGAAACTTAACTCTTTCATTTCTCTCATGTACTTATGAGGTATGATGTATCCATAAACATTATTAGAACAATATGTCAGGTACAAAATACATCTAATCTCTGGGCAATCTAAAATTTCTTTGGTCTTTATGTAGCTCTGTTCTTCCCTTTGTAGATGGACACCCAAGCTTCAGATTTAGCTTGAAGCATTTTTCAATCTGTAATCACTTGCTCAACCTCTATCAATTCTCATGTAAACTACTGAAGTAATCTTCTGGTACCCTGGAGATTTTTTTGGGGGGGAAGTCTAGTCATAACACTAGTCCCCATTGCAGGGAGGGAAGACCAGTGCAATACTCTTTAGCTAGAAAAGAAAGAAGCTAAAAGCAAGGGAAAATCCTTTGGGTCATGAGTTATAGTACTGTTGTATACCACGTTATTTGGTTGATATACTTTGATATCTGTCACTAACAATGTTAAAACTCTTTTCTTACCTGACGGAGGTTAAAATTTCAATGGCAATCCAAAGTGGAACAACATTTATTTATAAAATAGCTTGTGTAATCGTTGACTGCGGCAATGGCTTAGACTTTGGATCTATGTGAAAGGTAGAGAATGTGGGGAGAGAGAAATAGAGGGAAGGAAGAATAAAGAATAAGACATTCTAGTAAGCATCAGGAATTTGAATCTATTAAAGAAGGAATTAGAAAATAATCTGTTGGAATATATAGTTTGGTACCTGGAGACAGGAAGACCTAGTTTCATATTCTATCTCAAACTAGTCTCTAAATCTAGAGAAAATCATGTAACTTCTTGGACCCTCAGTTTTCTTACCTGTAAAACAGGGAAAATAGCATCCATCCTTCTGCTTATGAGAGACTTAAAAAAGAGAAGGCTTGTAAAGGCACTATATAAACCTTTAAACACTACTTAAATGGCAATTATTCCTTTTGGTCTAGCCTAAGACTACTATTCCTATTGAGAAACTTGTTAAGGTAGTTTATATTGTCATTGCTAATCCTGTAGGAATTACAATGACAGAACTTTCCCTTTACCTCCCTCCTAGCCATTTCACATTCAGCTTGGGAAGAATACTTGATCCTTGGGCATCTCCCTCTATTTTGAGGAAATGAGAGTGTATGACAAAATGAACTACCTCATGTTGTTTCAAATGAAATAATTTCATGAGATTAGTGACTGAATCCAAAATGATGCATGTTGCTCAATTTGAATTCCACCTTAAAACACATGCACACACAGACTCTGTCTCTGTCTCCTAAATTTTATCACAACTTCTGGTTTTATCCACAAAGCCTTTTAGATTGTGGTGCCTACATAACTACTTTTGACTGATCTTTCTGCAACAGATCTTTCTCTTCCTTCCTCCCCTCCCTCAATGAATCCATGAATAATGAGTAAAAAACACTTATTAAGCATTTACTATGTGCCAAGCCCTATGCTATGAGGATAGAAATAGAAAAGCAAAGCCAGTTGTTGGCTTCCAAAGAGCTAATATTTTAATAGGGATGGACAACACACAGGAGGGGTGTCCAGGGAGAAATACTTTATTCTGGATACTTAAAGGTAAGGTGAGTGGGCCACGGGTATTGATATCGCATCCTGTATTTGATCATGGTTTTAAAACCGAAGGAGGCGGGGAGATCATGATCAGTGGCAAGGTGGCTGGGGTGGGCATATGAAAGGACATGAAGCATAACTATGCCTGAAATAGTGGGACAGGTGAGGCAGTTGCTACTGTAGATAGCCCTAGGGTGAAAGTTCTGGAGAGTAAAGGTCTTAATGTCCAGGTCATAGTCTCCAGAATGAATGTTTCTTTGCCTCCTTACAACCTTGATTTCCCCTCATCCACTTGTCTGTTATTCAACAGCCTGTTATTTATTTTACGCTTAATGGTCTCTTCCCTACTGGAGTCAAAATTCTGAGTTTTAGTACATATGCCAGTCACTAGTGTATATTTGTGAAGTAGTTGGGACATGTTCTCCCACTGTCTAGAAAGATGGTTAGGTAATGACTTATTCTTTTTTTTAGCTCTATTTCCCAGTCATTTATCTGCAGAGAGACTGAGCCATGTCTTGTAGCTCTCTGAATGCTATGGTGGCTAAAATTTTTATGAGTTCATTAAGAGAGAATTCTTCAGAGCTGTGCATTAGAAAGATTGGTAGTAATATAAAGCATTGAAATAGGGAGAAAATAATTAGGGAGATGGGTTGGGAGGCTATTGAAATAGTTCACGTAAAGAAAATAAAGGCCTGATGCAGAGTGAAGTACATTGAACTCAAAATCAAAAGACTTGAATTTGACATAGTCATACTACTCCCTAGCTAGATGGCATCGAGCAGGTCATTTGATCTCTCTAGGCCTCGGATTCCTTTTCTGTAAAATGAGTTGTTTTGACTAGGTCTGTTGAAAGTAATGTCTAGTTCCAATAATCTGAGTGGGCAAAGTCAGTGGGAATGGAAAGGAGGGTCATTGGTTTAGCATTCAAAGCCCTCCCTCAACTGGTAGTAAACTTGATCTGCCCTCCTCCCTCCTACATTCTTTAATATTCACCCAAATTAGGCTACTTATAATCCCTTATATACACCCTTGGTGCATGGCCATAATTGGCAAGTATGAGGTTGCTGAGATTGAAATGACAACACTTGGTGACTTATTGGAGAAGGGGTGAGCAAGAGGGAGGAGTCAAAGATAACTCTGAGGGGATAACGAGTGACTAGGGGATAGATGTGAGGTTGTTGACAGAAACAAGGAAGTCATTGCCAAGTAAGCTGGCTGGTTGCTCTCTCTCTTTTTTTTTTTTTTTCTGGATGCGTTTTGGAGCTCTACCCTTTTACCCACTGGGTTACAAGCCATGCTTATTGAACAGAAGCAGATGGAATTACCACCCACAGAGAGCTGAGGGAGCCGACTGCGGCTTTTCCTAAGTGTTAATTAGTTTCACCTGGCTCAGCCTTTAGCAATCACCTAATTGATTTTTTAAAAAAATCACTGAGTGCTGTGGCAATTACCATATTATGACAATATTTCCCAGTACAATAGAGAGCAGCTGAGTTGCTGAGCCACTAGGAGGACTCAAAATGTCCTGAGCAAAGGTCTCTTAGGCTGCTTTTACTGAAAGCAGGTCAGGGACCTCTTCTTTCTTTCACTTGACTCAACTGGGAGGTAGGGAAGAAGACAATGAATTCGACAGGGCTTTCTTCTGAGAGGTGATGTGGGAGAGGATGGATCTGAATCTTGGCACTATTTCTGTGCCAGTAAGATGTTTCTGCCCACCCAGTTAGTGGCTGGTTCTCACTTCTGTCTTTCACTTAGTCAATTTGAACAACAGATTGGTATTTTAAACTTGGCATCTTAAATGATCAGAGATAGTATGTGAAGTTAGCTGTGGGTTATGTGTATGTACTTGGCAAGGGTGAGCCTGTAGAAGACCAGACAGATACGTAGATATGTGGAGTGAGTCTAGAGTAACCATGAGGTCTCATCTACTCAAAAATACTCCTTTTCTTAATAACCTAACAGTGGATGAAGTAACTACAATTAGTAAAGAAGTCATGATAAAAAAAAATGTGTGCCATACATGGCAAGGCTAAAAACTTCTTCTGCTTAGCCTGATGCCTTATTGTGACATGGAAGTGATCCTGTGCTCTGGGAAACTGTAAACATGATTGCAAGACCTTACCAGCTGGAGAGGCTTTGAATGTAGGTATAGCAATGCTTTCTTACCTAGTACCCGGTGTAGCTAATCCCAGGAAGCTCACCAGCAGATGGTTGGATTTCCTGATTCACTTTAGCCAAAAAATCTATCACCTATTGGCTAATAGTTCAACATGTCTCTCTGTCTGTCTCTCTCTGTCTGTCTCTCTCTGTCTGTCTGTCTCTCTCTCTTTGTCTTCCACCCCGCCCCCCCCCATATTGGTAACCAAGATGTCTGAGATGGAGAGGAAAGTCATTAAAGATCTTATAAGTTTTTGGTTTCATGCCAGCATTTGAATGCTGCTGAGATTATATCTGTAAAGTCCCTGGCACATAGTTGGTATTTAGTAAATGCTTTTTCTCTCCTCACTTCTAGTGATGGCCTTTTCTCCATTTCCTGCCGTGGTCTCTGCTCACTGCATTCTGTGTATCTTTTTGATCCACCTATCTTGGAGAAGCCTGGATTCAAATGGGCCTAGAGGCAATG